GCGTTTGCTCAACAAAAATACGAAGAAAATTACTTGATCAATGCCGAGGTTAATAGAAAGTCGGTCGTGGCAGTTACTGTCAGATCATTGTGTTTTCCATGTTGATTATTATTTGGAAAAGGTTTGCAGGTGTTGCTTGCATTTTTCAGAGGATGATGGCCGACAAAGAAAGTGACAATCAGGACGAGGTTAGCACAACCGCTAATGCAACGTCACAAGACGCCGAACCATCGTGTTCTGGCGACTGGTATGAAGAAGAGGGTGAACCTATATCAGCAATGGGAATGTCTCTAGATCATAATGCTGCGGCTGAGGAGGAACAACTCAGTGCTACCGTTGAAAATACGGTCAGTACAAGCTTCCACATTTGTATAGTAAACATTTAATCTTATTAGTTTTTTAATCTGATCTAATATTTATAGTGGTATAGTACTTTATTCAGTTTTTCATCACGGTTCTCATGTCCAGGTACGTTCACACATTGCAAACTCAGCTGCAAGGCGCAAAGCATATCAACAGGAGCGAATGCAGAGAGCAGTCCAGCATGGTCCACAGCCAAGTTGCGCCGAAGTCTCGTCGCCACCCCTTGACGGCGGAGCCACTGTTGCTGTGGAGAGTGCGGGTGACGGCACGCAGTCTCATGAGTGTGAAAAGCGGTTCGCTTCACGTGAAGCGCACTCTGACTACGGGTTCGACTCCGATGTGCAAAGCTTTGCAGATATTGAATTTGGTCTCTTTGATGATCTTATATATTAGCAATTACACTTTCCTTGCAAATTTTATGAGACATTGTTCCAATGCATGACACTTGTTGTCTAGTATGTTGTATAGTATTGTTTTTGTTTTATCTGAATGCTTTGACGACATGTTTAGACAAATCTCCTTTTGTTTGTTCGAGTTCTGCTACTTGGATAAATGCAATTTGTAGAGACATGGAGGTTATTTGGTCAAGCCAACCAACTATTAACTTCTAGAGTTAGTGGGATCGATGTCTTTTGTAGATAAGTATTGAGCAGGAGTGATAGGAAAATGCTGGATGACTGTGAAGTGAGGAGGAGTAGAATTTAGGTTGGGACCACTTTCCAACTAATCGGATAGCATCATCCGTCTTCGTTTTGTTACCTCATGAACATGATCATCGGAGGAGGTGGAGGCTTGTTCTGTCACACTAGCTACATGCTGTCGGATTTTCTTCGGATATAGGTAGCTCGAGAAGTGTTCCACCGTCACTGTGGGTACGATTTGTATGTAGTTTCTTCAGCAGAATCCCAACGGAAGTTATGTTTGCTCAGTTGGTAAGGCGTGGTGTATGTAATATGATAGCCTTCATCAGTAGTTTGTTAAGTACTTGAGGAAGCACGGCTTAATTATGAGGATAATTTCGACCATCTTTTGAGCAGGATTGTGTGGCGTGCGGTCTTCCATTGCTCTGGAATTCTTTGGAGTCTTCTTACGGTTAATAATTTAGTCTTTAGGTCTTGTTTGGTATTCTAGTCATGTAGAGAGAGGATCCTATTAAAAGTGTTCTGCTCATACCTAAGCTGTTTTTTTGTTCCTGGACAATCACAGTGCTCTTCCAGGTTGCGGTTGAATTGAGTCTTCTCACAAAGAAGATCATGGTTGAACCGTGTAAAAATTTGAGAGTACAATGGTGTTATTGGGGAGTATCTTTCAGTTTGTTACGGTATTGTCTGTCTTTTAGGCGACATCGATGTCCAACATAGGTTTTCTTTCTTATCGGAGGAATTTTCATGAAATATGCTCACTGTGAACAGGATCATCATATCGAGAAGGTTTCAACCTTCGCTTTAGTCTGTTATTCAAAAAAAAACCCAAATTCAATATTCCAACCCATTGTTCTTTTCTGGAGTATCGAAAGAGTGCTGGACAACAAATTAATTCTCCAAGCTTTCCATTTAGCATTACTTCCTTTACTTACTTGGATAGTTGGATGGCTTGTCTTCACTGGTTGTGTGGGCCCCAGCATAATTTTCCCTTTTTCGGACCTCTGCTGGTTTAGCCACTGTGGTTGCCTAGAGTCCCGAGGCTACCTTCTTTATGTCGTCGGATTTACTCTCATCAGTCAGCCACACATGTTGGCAAGTAAAAAGTGCTGATACGGATTTCTATCGAGCTGGGAGTTCAAGAAGAAAAACGGCCCACCAAAGTTAAAGTGCTTTATGAGTCCATGTAATACAAAACGGGTGGATGTGTGATGAAGCTCCTGCGACCGTATCGCTTATGGGTGTTTGTCTTGGGTTCCTACACAGCGATCACGCACAGGTCCCCTGGATATTGCTTCAAACTACGTAAAAGTCATCACATCCTACATCGAAAAGCTGTTTCCATTAAGATTGGTAAGTTCATAGGAACTAAAACAACATTTAAATTATGAAAAACCTCAATAATTTTTTTCGTGACCATGTTAAGATTGCTTGACTGTTTTTCTTTTTTACTTTGGACAGCGTAACAAATGGCGGGTGAGTTCGACTACGAAGTTTCTCGTAAACTATGGGAAGCAGCAGTACCAGTTGAAATCTACTTCGAACGAGAAGACGACTCAGGAGACGTATGCCAGCCTAGCTATGCCATGCTTCCACGGTGTAGCTATTTCCCTGTTCATCTACCGAGAGTACGTTTCTTTTTGCTTTGCTAAGTAAGCTTCATGAAAACATCTATCTCAAACTTACAGATATTGGAACAGCTGGGAGCTCGTGAACATGGCGTAAAATTAGAATTAGAAAAAGTGTGGTTGGAAAGCAATGGAGTGCCGCTGAAGATTTACTATCCTATTGGGGTGCTCTTTGACTTGCATAAATCTCAAGACTCTCCTACACTAACAGTTACAATAAAGTAAGTAGTCAAGAGATCATTCATTGCTTCACTAACTGTTCACACTGCTGACTAAAATATTCAGAACTAGCCCTCGTCCTGAAGGAATATCGTTCGTTTCGAGGGATACCATGGAGGCGATGTTCATGCAATCTGTAAAGGAGGCGAACTATTTGAAATATCAGAAAAATGAGGTTCGTTCCTTGGAAACCGCACTCCTTTATCAGTTGTTTCCGTTTCATTACTAAACTCAAGGCCTCATTATCGTGTACATTTTCTACGTTGATACATGACTCGTCCTCACATATCGTACTGGTTTGAACAATGCTTGTAATCCTTGAGTCATACAACCTCCTCGCATGGAGGTAGTTGGGTTTGGGTTTATGCGCGACTTCGGTCGCGACCTACCTTCTTCTCTTCTCAGCGACTTGTCGAATGTCAGTTGCGTATGACTCCCATGAGACCCTGAGATAACCATGCTGGGATGTCTCAGCTGAGATTGATCTAGACCGATATACAAGGCCAATCCATGCATCCGTGTACTGTCACTATAGAGCACCTTAATTAAGAGTAACCAGCTATAGTTTATTGGACAGATTTTGATGAAACAGTGGTTCTTTACCGAAAGAAAAAAAAAGATCGAAGTAGAGTAGAAGAAGAACGCTCCCCATTTCAATCTATAACATTGCCGTTGGCGGCGACACATTGAGACTAAAGTATTTCGTTAAAGTTCAAAGCAAAGTTGTAGACATAATAATGGGCATAAGTATTAGTACGTGCCATTTATGGGTTACATAGCCAATGTAGGTCCTACCCAAAAACTAAAAAAAAGTGATAAAAGAGCCAAGATAAATTTTAGGGTACGATACTTGCTTAGGAAAAGACATTCGAACACTGTTTCATGGGTGTGTTGTACTTACTGTCCTATTGACTACCATATGTGTGTTACAGATTGTAAGCACAATGAAGATGGATGAACACAAGCAACTATGGTCGAGTCTTGTGCATGGTATCTACGCAGGCGAATCCTAATTTTGATTGGATGCTTGAGCAGTACATTTATAGATCGTTTCGACGACTTCTGGAGCGTAAATCGACGTCTTATGGAATGTACTGACGAGCGACCATTCCATGATATTCCTATAAGGTTGTATGCTATCGGAAAACCATTTCGACAGGTGCGTAAACGTTTAAAGCTGGTCTTTAAAAAAAACGCCTAGGAAGTGTAGACTGATAGATCAACGATATCGGAGTTCTAGATTCTACAACCACCACTTGATGAGAAAGGAGAGCCCCGAACTCTGAACAATGCACTGAACGCACTCTCCTCTGATTTGGTACAGAACGAAAAATACCAGTTTATTTCACACGGTGTCACCCTTCCAATGGAAACACCTTTGACATACTTAGGTAAGAACCTAGCTTACCCTGACAATTTCGTACATATATGCACTGTCATTGTTTGTAATACACACGTCTGAATTCCCGGAATAAAAGTAAATCTTTGGCTGGAAAGGGATCTTGAAGGCCACAATGGACACAGAAAAATATTAAGCAATTAGATCTCTATTCCACAGTGGACAAAAGAAAAGCTAAGTGAGAAGCAGCATAATTAATTAGGAGCAATTAGAGTAATTATAAGAGAAAAGATGAGAAAGAGCCAATAATAGTCCGGTAGTAAGTTGTCATTCCCTATGAAAATGTAATGGTCACAGATTCGAGCTTCGTCACGAACTGGCGGTATTTTACTCCGGCAAGATCAAACATTTTCCTAGTAGCGTCATATTTCCATGGCCCTTGGCGATCATGAAGGAACACCACCTCGGCCAAACGTGACTGTAATGGCATACTTTTACGGCATCGAACTGCGTTAGTAGAAACTTTCAAGGGAGATATTAAGGCTGCCTTTAACTAACAGTAGAGTTTTCTGGTTTTTGTGAGCAAAAAACAAACGATCTTGTGATTTGAATGATGGTGAGATATTTGCAAAACTCCGGACCGCAGGTGTATGCGGTGGGGAACGAACGCGCTATTGTCCTTTCCGGGGAGTAGCGCGTTCACCACCACACCATGCGGGTTCTTCGTTTCGCCTGTCTCTCAGCTAGTTCTATCGATCTTTTGCCACAGCAATGACCCGTCAGCGAGATTGATCTGGGAGACCAAATCGGCAACGAACCCAGTTAAGCTGAAGCCGCGTTGTAATCACAATTTTAACTTATTAATTACTGCCTACTCTTTTTAGCGGCAGGGTATATATTACGAAATATAACTAGCTGAGAGACAGGTGAAACGAAGAACCCGCATGGTGTGGTGGTGAACGCGCTACTCTCCGGAAAGGACAATAGCGCGTTCGTTCCCCACCGCATACACCTGCGGTCCGGAGTTTTGCAAATATCTCAACATCATTCAAGTTATATTTCGCAATACATACCCTGCTGCTAAAAAAAGTAGGCAGTAAATAATAAGTTAAAATTGCGATCTTGTGATTGTTTTAAGAAATAAGAAGCAACAACTTCTGCGTAGTACAGGAAGTGGAGGGTACTGCATAGCTATCGTTTAGAAAGAAGACAGAGATTGTATTCCAAACACGTATTTCAATATGAACCTCAGGACCATTTCTCTATATTTTCATATGGAATCCTTTAAACAGAAATGAACTCATAATTTTAAATGAAGAAGTCACCTGTATGATCATCTTCGCGCATTCATTGCATGGTAGAAGAGTCGTGTACAGAGTACACCCTTCGATGCTGTTCATGCTTTTATTGATAATGGCGTTCATCTCAGCATGCACTACGTACGTCTGCTTGTTCTCCAATGGATCCTGATTACCCTTTGTCCAGGGGAGATCGTCGTCACTTATCCCCACAGGAAAACCTAAGTAGTGGTATACTTGTACTTTTCTCATATGAAATGCATAAAACTTAGACAGCTCTTTGATAGACGAATACGCATTCGATCCAAGTCCATAAATGGAGGGCTGAATTCTTCCTTGTACCCGTTAACTATGCTAACCGCTAATTGTAGTTCCTATCATCAGCAATAGGATATCACTTGTAGAACAATGAAAAGGATTACACAAATGTTCCTACAATCAGTGTTCCCTTTACACTTTGACGGAGAAAGGTCAAAAATCTTAGGGTAGAGAATATACGTTATGATTTATCCATACCTAGAAAATATTGGTCTCTCAATGGATTATTAGGGTCTTGGATTTAACTTAAAGATATGTTATGGTACGTTATAAAAAAAAAAGGATGAAGCTCTCGTCGTTGATCAATCCGATCAACCTGCATACGGGAAATATTCAACGGATTCTTATCAATATAAAAAGGATAAAGCTGTTGGCGTTGATCAATCCCTGATGGATGCGTCGTGCATTCGACTTTATTAAGCATCTTTGGAGGTGACTGAATGCATACCTGGCCCTTACAATGACTCGCGGTGGCTTACCGATGTATCGTGCCAGTGCTGCTATCTTCCCAGACAAGTCTGGTACTAATTCTCCAATCCCGGAGGGATGGAAGGTTTGGCGGGCCCTGGACGCGAGGATCGATCCCATGTGCATCGCAGGCCGCCTTCGACCACTGCGCCCTTATTTTATATCCACATATGTTATATATCATATTTCACAGAAAGTGACCTAAGGAAGCTAATTTTTTCGCATCATGAGCAAACTGCCCTCGGAAACGATTGTTGCACGTTATATAACTGATAAGAAAGCACAGTGCTATACCGTGGTAATATGTGCAGGTGGAAGATTACAGTATCAATAGGTGAACGGATTCAGACAAGGAAAACACTAAATAACGAAAGGAATACATTACACTTACCATAACGACTAAATCTTGACTTCGACTTTAACATGGGTCAAATATATTTACGATTTCAGAAGAAGAAACGCACCATTGTAGCCAGTTCCTATTATTTTGTTTTCCTGGTTCACAATGGTGCAACCGACCTGAAGAAACATGTTCCACCTTCATTGTAAGCGTAGTATCCCTCATAAAGGAAAGAGCATGGTGGTAAAGTCTACACCGTTGTCTTAAGATGCCTACACCTATACTCTCAGTTCAAGTTAGAAACATAGTGAGGAAAATAGTATTTATTAGGCTGAAACAGAATCTGTTAGCTTCCATTTATCAACAAGTCAGTGTACTATGTTCTAACGGTGACTCAACTGTGACATGTCGAGGTCAAAAAGTTCAAAAAAAAGTCAAAAGGACAGAGGTTCTCTAGGGTAGAGATTTCAGCAAAAACCGTTAGTCCTGTGTTGGACTACTGGAACTCGGTAGTAGAAACTCTTTTTTAGACAACTGGATATAGTTCTATATACAATGTTCTTTTCTTCTGAACAATCTGAACCACTTATGAGACCACTACTGGTCGGGGTTAACGACGTACTAGGTAATAGTAGAACTTATGATACAATCCATTGCGTATTAGTACATAAAGTACCTGGGTGGTTGGATCCTTACTTCGCATCGATGCAAGCTTTGCAACAGCCATGAAATAGTCCTCCCAGGAAAGATAGTCATTTCGTTTCCCCGATTCTGAAGAATGTTCTAAAATATGAGAAAGGAAATAATAGAGGTTTATGAAGAACTCGCCTTTTTCTCTCTGTACTCGCTGATTTCCCATATCTATCATATTATCCGTTTCCACTCCTAGGTGGTTCATACACCGTTCCACAACACCGTTTTCCATTAGTGCTACAATCTAACAGTTTTCAAATTAAACATCTATAGCTTAACAGTTTCCTAAAAATTTTTACAGACAGTTAATGAAGCTTTCCATAAATGTTGGTGAGAGATAGCAGAGAACGGTCGGAATAGGTCTGAATGTTATTGGAATGGAGAGGAACGGAAGTAAAATGAAGTCCTAGAACATCTCAGATTCCAAGGTGATATATCTAGGGAGACCAACTATGATTTAGAAAGTATCACTTGTATAGTACCAGTGTCGAGCTCCAGCTCTTGTTGGAACTAAAAAAAGAAATTGGGACATATTTTCGGCTCTCAGTAAATAACAGTTCGAGTGTCATGAACGAAAACGATATTGTTGTGGCCAAGCGAAGTGAAGCTTTCGTTTTGCAAACAACGGTGATCACTAGATACGAGACTGAGGCACTGTGTACAGAACCTAGATTGAGGAAATAAAGAAGCAATAAGGAAATATAGGAAAAAAGAAAAAAAACGAAAAATAGAAACCATAGTGGACGGTCAATCGTAATAGTAAGTGGTAAAGAGCCACGAAGTACTCAACGATAGTGTACTTCGCCAGAGTAAAAAAAAACTTACAGGTAATTCGTTTCGCGTGGGTGGAGCGTTCACCACGTGTCTAGAATTCGTGGTCTGGGCGAGGCTTTACAGCCCCATGTGGGCTGCCCACACACGAATTCGCCCATGATCTTGGAACATTTTTCACGACTATGTCAGCTTTTTCGAGTAGAGCATGTTTACATGAATTCCGCTACCGTCAGGATGAAATATGAGACACGTTCTAAGTAACTTCAGGTTTGTGCTGGTCTTTATTTCAGAATCCCACTCCCGCAGAACTCCTCCCAACGGTTTTTACCGTCTCATCGCGGCTGGAAGGTGTTCCTGGGTGTCGGACTGCGATGTACAGCGGGGGGGGGGATTCATCCCTTGGCAGGGTCTACCAAGCTGAGAAGGAGTACGGCGTTTCCATCAGGAAGCCTAGCTAAGAGTAAACCAATACCAGGATCCGCCACCGTCCTGGTATCAAAGTCTCATGGTGGTAAATCTCCCTCTGATCCACAAGGACTGTGACTGCCCGTGGTGGTGAAGACCTGGGGCAGACTTTGGTCAGGCTGTCCTCGCGATACCGGGGAACCGCAATGGCTTGACCAGCAAATCTCCGAAAAATGGAGGCTATGCTGGTGCCCGCACAACCAGTGAGGACCGGTCATTCAAGCACCAAGTAAGTATTTCACAATCGAACACATCTACATAGGAATTTTTTGAACATATAAAGGTATTGGGAATATTTGTAATGTTAGAACTTTAGGGCGGAACCATGCTTAGCACTTTGATGAGAACGTCTGGCTGAGGGTTAGTTTCTTTCCGGACAACATATTGAGGTGCTTTATTCAACCACGTAGAAGTTCGAGTGTTAGTCTTCTCTTCATTGGCGAGCCGATCAACTTGATCCTTCACCAGTCATAAGTAGTGCTTCTAGAAAAAAGCTGAAGTGGAGCAGGGTAAGAGCGACTGTTTCGGCTACGTTGAATGTTGATATGCTTAGGTTCAGAATTTTCCTTTTCTTAAAGCTCCTTGCTGCGTTGTAAAAGCAACTTGATGGGAATATTTGGCGAGAAAACTCGTCAATAAACCATATTTTGACGACTGTAACCGCCAGAAAGTCGCTGCAATCATATCTCCTCTATCATATCTTTTAGAGGTAGCATTTTCTGAAATATGTTACGGCGAGAGAGGCGAAGTGGAGGACCCGCTTGGTGTGGTGGTGAATGCATAAGCCCCGGAAGAGGTAATATCGTGTTCGATCCCTATCACAAACTGCAGCCCGGAGTTTTGCAAATATCGCAGCATCATTATGGTTATATCACGAGTTCCAGCAACCTTCCATGTGATTCTTATTACACCTGTCTTTCCGATCCTCATGGCAACTTGTGGCGCATTGGTGGGAAGCGCCGTGCAACACGTGAAATCGATTCTCGCGCCCATGGTTCACCAAACCTTCCATCCCTCCGGGGTGGGCAAGTTGGTACCAGACTTGTCTGGAGGGATAACAGCACTGGCTCGATACATCGGTGGGCTACCGTGTGTCATTGTAAAGGCCAGATATGCTTTCAATCACCGCCAAACGATGCTTAATGGAGTCGAATCCATGCCGCATCACTCGGAGATTGATCAGCACCGATAGCTTTACCCTTTTTCCGACCCTCAGATAAGGAAACGTCCTGTTTCGCACACGCGCGGAGTTTCTGAGTGAATGAACATGGAAGAAAACGGGAGGAAATCAGACTACTCGAATGACAAGCGTATGTGCCGACCCGTTAGTTATCTGGTTTGTTACGGTCGTTTTTTCTCTCTTCTACGTTAATTAGTTTTCAAGCTTAGCCCTGATCAGCTTTTTTTGGGAAATTATAACGATGTAATTCGAAAACCGGTAGCTAGAGAGGAATTATGAGTCCATGCTGATGACCATGTTTTTTACCCATGTCGCTAGTTTGTCTGCTGAAGGACGACCGTAAGCAGTTTGGGCGAAGCGGAAATTCGATCCGCTTCTCGGTTAGATTATTATTTTGATCAAGAAATATTTCATGCCCGTGAAAGTGTCCCTTCGAACAGATTGGGCAGGACGTTCTGCAAGGAAGTCCGGTGGTAGCAGATCAAATCAGAGTTGTGATACATCGTTCGTACGCCGCCCCTGTCCATCGGATTCGACTCGGTGCGCCGACGAAATCCCATATCGCGAGGACAAACATCTGTACGCCACCCATCCGAATATTGCGGCCCGGAAGGCGAAGGCGAAATGCCAGATTAATGAAGTTTGGTCCCAACCTCGTATTAACTTAATGATCTTAGAAAATATCTGATGTTATCGTGCAAGATCGTTTTTGCATCGTTTGACATACAAAGTAACGGCACTTAACCAGCTACACTTGTCACGGGTTATTTTCCGTTCGATGACGTAGTGCTGCAAATATTACAGGATAGGCAGCGATTGTTAGATTGCAGAAAAATAGTAGTAATGTCTTTCTAGAGTTCTTGATCCTATGCTTTCAGCCTGACCCTTGTTTAAAGAACGCTAAATTTACTTTTTTTATTTATTATTTACTGCCTACTCTTTTTAATGGCCGGGTATATTGCGAAATATAACTCCAGTAATGCTGAGATATTTGCAGAACACCGAACTGCAGGTGTATGCAGTGGGGAGCGAACGTGCTATTGATACTCCGTGGAGAAACGAGTTCACCACCACACCATGCGGGTCCTTCGTTTCGCCTGTCTCTCAGCTAGTTCTATCGATCTTTTGCCATCAGCAATCACCCGTTAGCGGAAAAAGATCTACAGAACTAGCTGAAGGAGAGGCGAAACAAAGGACCCGCATGGTGTGGTGGTGAACGCGTTACGCCCCGGAAAGGACAATACCGCGTTCGTTCCCCACCGCATACATCTGCGGTCAGGAGTTTTGCAAATATCTCAGCATCATTGAAACTATATCTACTTCCTCTATTCCTGGTGTTGAGATTGGGCATATGTCTCCTGGAATGGAGAAGATTCCAGTGATATCCTTTGCTGATGGATTCTAACTCTTGTTAGTATTTCTATCGAAATATTTACGTTGATGTACATCGAAGGCTCTTGCTCCCAACAGGATTACCATAGATGATCAGTTCAACATTTCCTTTGGGAATCTGATGCTCTCCGCATCGTTCAAGGAAACGAAACTCACTGCGACGTTTTGGCATGAAGAGGCTGAGTGTACGCTTTTCTGGTGCCCAACCGAAAAGGTCACAGGTGATTATTGTGTCGAAATTCTTCATATGTCTCAAACAGTACTGATTTTAGTATTCGTAGTCCTTAAAGCGTATTTGGTTACTCTTCCATGTTTATGGCCTATTCGAAAACCCTTCCGTAAGGACCATCTCTTTCCTTCCCTTTAATGATAAGGTTTCCAGCTCATATCACAGATGACGGTATATCTGGTGGTGGACTCATTCGATGTTGAAGGGTAATAACATAATACTATAGAACAGTCCATTTATATCCCGACTGAGTAGCCGATAATTGGTGGAGCACCTTCTTTCCCGCTAAGTAGTTTCTCTGGACGAGGACATAGGACACAAAACGAAGATCTGCTAGATTCCTATTTTTATTTCAGAGTGCCAAATCTAAATCGATGGACTCTTTGACACCTGTTGCTTGTTTCCTTAGAGCACTGCAGCGCTGCCATCTTAGCTGCAGTGACTTTCATTATAAATGAAAGCCTCGTGTTACTCTTTTTCAGGTACTGTCAGAACTCAATAGGTGACAACGGTAACCTTCCCACGTCGTGGGAGGACCATCCGAATGTGGACTCTGTAACTATGGTAGTAATAGATGTCGGATCATAGCTAGGTGCAGTTTCGCAACTCTGGTTAAGGATTCGGATGGGTCTTTTGGCTGATTTGTTTCTGTTCTACGGTACGTCGAAAAAGACGAAGAGAGTATTCTTGAGGGATTTCGACTCAAAGTACAAGTTGGCGATTGTGGGGCTTAAACAGAGGCATTAGAGCCAGTCAGCGAGTACAGATTCTCTAGGTTCTTTCTCAACATCATCACCAGGACTGTTAGCACACAACCGACGTCGAACAAATCTCTGACCGTAGACCTGACCATAACATTGGCTGGCATGGGTCTTGTACTCAAAATACATTATGATAGTATATTTAGAAGTACGCACAACTGGCTAACTAAATACATCATCAGGTGATTCGTAGGTGACCGCTTCCAAAGGATTTTGGCGAATGGGAACCCCACCGGAGTCGATAGCGGGGCAGGGACCCGAGCGCGGTCACCGTCTCTCTGCGTCTCTGTCGCGACTCTCTCGTGCTCTGACTCTCGTGGCCGCCCAGGGTGCGCTAGCTGCGTTTGCTCGTCAGCGTTTCGCACGCTCTCTTCCCAGACCCGGGCAGCATGTTTGGGAGGCGGTAGTGACGAAGCGTCGCGAAAAGCCCGCCGGCTCCCCAATGGGTCTTCTCGACGGGCTCGTGGTGGCCGTGTTCTCCTGTTATTCGTTTTGATCAGCCTTCCATTCACCTTACTTTTTGGTTATGCTCGAGAAGCTACACATTTGCGTAATTATAGTTCTTTTGCACACACTCATATGTGCCCTCCGGGCATGGTCGTCTAAGCTCTGAATAATTCTACAGGCATCGACACTTACCATAAAGAAAAAACAGACCGTAAAGAAGTTATCATTCTAGTTTTACTTGATGCTTGAACGGGCAGTCATCACTGGTTGCGGTTTAAGGGGTTGTGTCGGTCCAGTCGGTCCACTAATTCCCACAAACTTCAATCATTGGTGATCATTTTCAGTCTGAGCTCTTTTTTCTCAGATGCGAGTTTTTCTGTAATATGTGCAATTTTATGGCAGGATTTAGAAACTGCTAGGAAACCTTGCTTAATTGTATCCACAAAATCTGTTGGCTAGTATCTCAGTTACTTCTGTGGACAGATAACACGGAGTTCACAGCTAGTCTCCTGGAGACATGATGGTGACGAGAGCATGGGGCTGGAGAAGAGCGATGTGACCAGAATTCATTGGCATGTTTTGGAATGTCCGCGGATGACTCAATGGTTATAACACATTGTCACTGTAGCTTCGTTTTTCCGACGACATCCGTCCAGGTGACAAAAATTCGATAAGGACGACAAGAAAATTTAAGTCAGGATTTAACTAAACTTTAGCGAAAAGCTCAGAAACTTCTGTATTGTGTCGGTCTCTTTAACGCTAGCACCGAGTTCTGGGTAAGCTGGACTTAATTTTATTGAGATTCATTGTAGAGGGTGTTTTCCAACTATCTCATACTGGGAAAATCATCCGTGCTTAGTTTATTCTTGGTCTCATTTTAAGACTCTTACTAAAAAATGTTTAGCAAAAACATGTGGGCTTAAGATCAGCCTACAGTATAGTATGAAGCAATTGATTTTCAGGACTGAAAAGTACGACTGCATTTTCTGATCACTTTTATTTCTGTGCTTCAGTTAAAATTAGAGCGTCAGTTAGAGCATGTGGTTTTACCAACTGTTTTGTTCCATGGTTCCGACTAAATTTAGCTCACTGGCTGACGCTTCGGCTTTTCGCCTTCTTCAGAGCCTTGAAAGGCCTAATTGATTCGCAGTTTACTTGGCCAAACATTTTTATAGCCTCACCAGATAAAATGTAATGCATAAATTTTCAACCGCCTAGTGAACAACTTCTTTCAAACACCGTTTTAATGTTAACTTGTTATTTACTGCATACCATTACTTTTCACGGCATGCTATGCTGTGCGATACAACCACAGTGATGCTGAGATGTTTGCAAAACTTGGACCCCGGCGGCCAGGTTCGAACCCGTGATAACTCTTTCCATGACTCACGTGTTACCCACGGCACCACTCAGGTGTTTGCTTTAACTTTCTCTCAGCCAACTTTGTACCCTAACGGTTCCATCAGCTGTCACTCGTCAACGGGAATGACCCTAACCGTTTCGTTGTTTGTCAGCGTTCGAGTGTTTTCGTGGAAACCAGCCACACAGGGACATACTTGGGCGAGGAGTGAGCCTCTGTCAGGTCAAAAAATCGTCAAAAATAAAAAAATTTATGGCACGTTGTAACACATGATTACAAGGCTTTCCTGCTTGCTGTTTATTTCAGGATTTTCGGAATTTATCCAAAACGGTCCAAAAGGTTTACGCGCCGATGTTTTGGATTCCTGTGTGAGCATGTTGACTTCTTGAGCGTTCAAGTCAAGTTAGCGAAAAGCGGCTGCATTACGAAGCGGTACCGAAGGCCAACAAGCAACAACATCTTTCTTTCTTGATAAGCTTGCACGAGGTTGATAAATATATTTATTTTCGGCTAACGTCTCGACGTCTTCGTCTTCCTCAGAGCCGATGATCCGAGTCGATGGTCAATGATTGTTGTTCGTGATTGTGAGGATGCCTCATTCGAGAAGATGGATCACTGAGGAAGACCTGGCTCGACACGAAGGCGAAGTTGCAACGTCGAGACGAACAACAATCATGGACCATCGACTCGGATCATCGGCTCTGAGGAAGACGAAGACGTCGAAACGTTAGCCGAAAATAAATATATTTATCAACCTCGTGCAAGCTTATCAAGAAAGAATGCATATTGATTAGTCACACAGAGGTTCAGGGAAAGTCGGTTTCGAAACAACATCTTTGTTCATTATCTCTCCTTCCAGCCTTTACGTACAGAAAGGGCATTTGTGGTGAACATGTTTCGAACACTCGCCAGTGTTTACCCGGTAGGAGAGTAGATATCTAAGATTGGCGCGGCAAATGGTCATTTCTAATAGCTACGAAACGGTGAATGGACGACATAGGTTGGGAGGAAAAACAAAGCCTTCAAACGATGTCTGGTGAAAATGCAGCCCCGTATATCCAGTCCTTCATGTCCAGTGAAATAAGTACAGCTATAAAACGTTACTTAAGAAGGGCCGCTCTGGAGAAATTGGTAGCAGTAGTTGAAATACCGCAGAACGCCCTAAGATACCGGCTAGTTCGTAGGCGCCTGTGTTATCGTCCATGCAAAACGCATAACTGCACAATTTGCCGTAACGGTAGAGACGGTGATTTCATGAGTTCGGGCACGGTGTACCTAATCTCTTACCAAGTATGCGGGACAAATGAGTTGGCGAAGCGGGTAGACCACTCTGTGTCCTTGTAAAAGGATTCCTACCTGGAAAACATAAGAGCTAATAGAACACTCCACTAGGCACGTATGGGAGAAGAAGGCATGATGGAGATTTTGAGGGGAAAGGCACTGTCCTCGCCCAGGAATCCAAAACATCAGTGCGTAAAACACTTCAGACGTTTTGGATAAATTCCGGAAATCCAGAAATGACCCGCAATGAGGAGTGCCTTGTGATCACGTGTGGCCTAGCGCCATACCTTAGACTGATTTTTGAGGGACTACTGACCTGAGCCAGGCACGTTCCTTGTTCGTCTAAGACTGTGCTGCTATCTAGGAAATAACTACAAAATTTTCAATGGGAAAATCGATGAGCGTTTGAAAGAAGCTGTTCGTTGTGCGAACGAAATTCATGTATTAAGTTTTATATGCTGAGGCTATGAAACTGTTTAGCTGAGTAGATTGTGGGTCAGTTTGACTTTTTTAGGCTCTGAAAAAACGAGACTGCTGAAACGTCAGCTATTGCGGATGAACAAATGCCGTGATAACAACCTCATGCTTGCCCATAAAGAAAACAGTAAATTATTAATCAATGCAGGGGTTAAAAGAACACCTCTCCTGACATTTGCTAAACTTAGGTCATGCGATATTCACTGGTTATTTTAATTCTTCGACTTTCCGCAGTTGTTATGAATAGAACAGAGCACGTATCAGCTCATAGTTGACTTCATTGATTTGAGTGAAAAGCTTCGACAGAAGCAAAACAGAAAAAGCAAAGTTCATAAATCTTTACCAAGTTGGTAGAAGTCTCTTTTTTCATTATGAAGAAATCCTGAATTAATACAAGCCAGGAATCGCTAGTTCGTCGCTTTTCGTAAAGGTTGATATCCTGAGTAGCCAAACAAACTAAGAAGTGAAATTTCTTCCTGAAGTGAAGAGCAACGCAAATTATGCATTTTGCAATACCCAAGACCGACTTTCTGTTAACCTCGGCATTAATTGATAATTCAATGTTTTTCTTCAATAAGCAGACACGAGGTTGTTAATATAGAATTTATTAGAATACAATAGCTGACGTTTCAGCGGTTTCGCCTTCTTCAGAGCCTGGAAAGGTCAAATTGAGATGTGATCTACTCAGCCAAACACTTTCACAACCCTAGCAGATAAAACTTGACAAATCGATTTGCATTCGCATAAGAAACAGCTTCATTCAAACACCTACCGTTTATTTGTTGTAAGTATTTATGTTAGTTGATGGATAGCCACCGCACAGAGTAATACATGTGCGATAACTGTGTCTGTGTTAGGTCATTGATTAGCCTGAGGTATGGCGCCAGGTCACGCGTGATGACAAGACACTCCTTGCGGTTCATTTTTCAATTTTTGGAATTGATCCAAAACGCTTCAAGGGTTTTACGCGCTGATGTTTTTGATTCCTGCGTAAGGATAGTGACTTCTACCTCAAAATCTTCTCCGTTGTGTTCCTGCATCCTATGCGCGCCTAGTGGAGTATTTTGTTTTAGAAATAGCTGAGAGACGTGCGAAACAAAGGACCCGCATGGTGTGGTGGTGAACGCGTTACTCCCCGGAAAGGACAATAGCGCGTTCGTTCCCCACCATAGACACCTGCGGTCCAGAGTTTTGCAAATATCTCAGCAACGTTGTGGTTGTATTTCGCTTACTTAGTAACCTGCCATGAAAATTATAGAAGGCAGAAAACAAAACGTTAAATATTTTGTTTTAGTTTAGATTTACCGACTAGGTGTTCTTTTATGCGGACGCAGAGCGGTCTACCCGTTTCGCCAACGTATTCGTCCCCGCACGCTTTACAAGAGATCAGATAGATTGCACCCGAGCTCATGCAATCACCGCCTCTACCGTTAGGGCAAATTGTGCAGTTTTTCGTTACACGTAGACGGTTACATAGGCGGTTGCGAACTAGCTGGCGTCTTAGAGTGACCGATGGTATTTCTATCACTCTTACGGAATTCTCTAGACCGGCTCTTATTAAGTAACGTTTTATAGGTGAACTTATTTCGTTTGAAATAAAGGGCAAGAGGAACGGAACTTTGTTTTCGCTAGAATTATCGCTCTGGGGCGTGGGTTTTTTCTGTGCCTATACCGAGAAGCTACATTTTCGTTTGGCTGAGTAGATCACATCTCAATTTGACCTTTCCAGGCTCTGAAGAAGGCGAAACCGCCGAAACGTCAGCAATTGTGTTCTAATAAATTCTATATTAACAACCTCGTGTCTGTTTATTGAAGAAAAACATTGAATTATGCATTTTGCGTTGCTCATAGACGGCGTACAGACGCTTGCAAACTAGTTGGCGTTTTAGAGTGCGCGATGGTACATCAATCACTGCTACTGAATTCTCTAG